ATATTCTTAACCACAATTAAAAAAAGCATTTGGGGAGAGAGGGTGGAGTAACATGGAAGAGACAAAAGATAACCTTCCTGGTGGACTGTGCTATTCTCTTCCCTTAGAGAAGACACATTTTACAAAGGGAGACTTTCAGGAGGCAGATAGTGATTTGTTTTTTTGTTGTTGTTTGGGGAGGGTACCTTCAATTGGTCATTAACACCTTGCCTGTGGCAGGGATTGAAGTCTATTTACAATAGTGGGGTAAGCCTTAGCTTGTTCCCACAGGGAGTCTGAGCTCTGCCTCTGAGAGTTGCAGGCATCCAACCAATGTTTATGGGCTTAAATGGAATGATATGAGTCACCCTCAGTTATATGACTTGAAAGAGTCTTGAGCCAGCCCTGTTCGTGTCTCCCCAGGGATGGATCATCTTTTAAAAATTGAATTTAACAGACTCTTACACAGTGTTTATTGTGAGCCAGAGACTGTCCCAAAGGCTTTTGATATATCAACTCAACTAATCCTAATTACTCTATTAAGTAGGTACCATTGTTTCCCAGTTTACAGATGAGAAAACTGAGGCACAGAGAGGGAAAATCATACAACTATTAAGTGCTGGACCTGGGGTTCCAACCAAAACATCTTGTTGTCCCAGAGTTCACATGTTCCTAATCATTGCACACCTGACTCTCTCTTCTTGAAATAGTAATTTCGCGGAGACTGGGACTTTAATGACCCTGAAGCTTATCTCAAGGTCCAGAACGGAGAATGGGAAGTGAGGGTGAAGATATTCCTTGACTATGATTCTGCCTCTCTACTCCAGCAGTGTGGTTGGGCCCTTGAGGGCTGCTGAAGCCAGGGTAAGGGGTTTGTAGGCTTAAGGTCAAATTTTTTGAACCTAAGGAATTTCCCTCCAATTCTGTAGCAGCCCCTTAGTGACGAATCTGATGCCTATCCCACGGCTTCTGCTATTAGTGAATTTTCTAGGTGATCAAGGCAAGCGAAATGAAACACCATTAAACTAACATTGAGTCACGCTAAACCCAATATAAATCTTTTTTTTCTAGTCGTTCCAAGATACGACCTGAGACGAATCTGCAACTCTGGAGTGGAAGCCAGGGGGCGGGCTGAGCAGCGACCATTTTTGTTTTGCGGCCGTGCGCTCTCAAAGCATCTTGACTAACAGGACCCCACGGAGAAGGCGGAGCCTATCAGAGAGTAGGGCGGGGTCTGAGAGACGTGATGATTCAAATGGACTAATGAGCTGGGCGCATCTGGCAGAAGTCGCCAATGAGCGGGCATGTTGGGGCGGAGCACACAAACCCTAGTGGGTTTGGTTGCACGGCGGCTTTGGCGCATTTTCGGCTGGTTTGATTCATCCATTTTGAAGAGACGGGGGAGCGGGGGGCTCGTCTGATCCAGGGGCCCTGAACCAAAGAGCGGCGGAGTTTGAGAGGCCAGCAGCTCGGGGTTCGGCGGCAGCGGCCCCATCGGCCGAAGTTCGGGGGGGGTGGGGCGCCGAGCGCGCGGGGTGGGGGGGGTCCTGGTCTTTGGCTTCTCGACTCGGTCCTGTTTCAACAGCGAACATGTCGCGGCCTGTCAGGTCAGTGCGGAGTCCGAGGCCTGGAGCGGGTTGGGGGGACTGGGGGTGAGTAGTGATGGAATGGGGGACAGAAGCCTAGAGTCGGCCCTACCGGGTGCCAGGCGCGGCCTTCTCCTTTCGGGGCCCGCGCGCGCCCTTGAGCGTGGGGGGCCTTGCTGGCGCGCGGGGGTGGCGGCTGCGCGCCTGTGCGCGCTTCCCTCCCCGCCCCGCGCCGCTGCAGGGCTCCGGTCTGCTGTGCTGCCTCCCCCACCCGCCGCACTGGAGCGGGCGGGGTGTCCCTGAACCGCCAGCGGCCGGAGGGGGAGGGGTGTGAAGTCAGCGCCCCCGAGCAGGCCCCACCTCCTTGGGGCCGGCCTCTCACCGCCCACAGGGGAGACGAGCGGACTCGAGCTCTGCTCCCCACCTTTAGTAGGGAGGGGCGGCAGCACCCGTATCGCCCCTTCCTCTGCGACTTGCGTGGCGGTGGGGGGCACTCGGGCCTCTTTTCTCTGGCGGACTGGGGTGTTCCATACAGCGGGGGAGGGGCAGTATTCCCACCCGTCCCCGCCTCCGTCCTCCCGGGTCGCTGCAGGGCCCGCCTCCCGGATCGGGCCGGGCGTGGGCGGAACCCGTTCTTTTCCCCTTGGGCAAAAGTGAGAGTTCGGGACTGGATCCTGGAAAATTATGGACTGCTGCCTCTCCCCCACTTCGGAGTTTTGATAGAGTTAACCCCAAAGTTCGCTCTTTCTCTCCGATTAGAAATGTCCTTCCTCAGGGAAATGCCCGTGCTCAGGGAGGCGCGGGTTAACGGCACGGCCCAAATCCCGTGTAGTTCTCGTTCCACTCTCACCCGCGTACACGTCTCGGGATATTTTTGTAACCCTCTCCTTGCCCGCAGTGACTTTAGTAATAAAGGGACTCGGTTCGGTTAACCATTAGACTTCATTGTCAGAATTTCAACAAGTTTGCTGTTCCCCCAGCGGTCGGTGGAATCGCCCTTTGCCATCGAGGCTATTGTATGGAATGTGCCATTTATGGAGGGGTGTGGTTTAGTCCAATCTGTTGAGGCCTTAAAAAGGAGGGCTGTTGCAAATAAATACTACTTTTAATGTAAAGAATTACCTACTTTGCATAGTGTTTTCTGAATAAATAGATAAAAGGTGTAGTTTTTAAATGTTTTTAACAGTTGTCGTTTCCCATTCTTCATTCCAAGTTTTGTGGGAAACGGAAGTATCTTGAGTTAGAGTTTTAAAGAGAGATTTGGGACCCTGAAAAGGGGTACTGGGTATTGTTCTACACCGTTTTGTCTCCTGAGTAGATCGTCCTTCTCCTCCAACTGGGGATGGTATGGGACGGCGTACTCCTACGCACGGGGCGGGAATGAGGATGAGCTAACTACTTGACTGCTTTTCTGCCGTTCAGTTTCAACCCTCTTTTCTAATAACCCACTATCTCTACTGTGAAAGTTTTGCTGGCCTTTTGTCGAGGAATCTGAATAGCTATTTCAGATTATACTCCGCATAATTTTTTTGGCATGAAACTTGACCGATGTATCCCATCAACTCAAGTAGAATATTTTCTTTAGGATCAGGTAAAGACAATATTATAATAAAGATTTCTTTTATCTGAATTGGATCTTTTGTCTCTTGGAAGTAATTACTGTGTGGTTAAATTAGATTATTTTTCTCTGCATTTAAACTTGAGTTCACTAAGTTTTGATGACTTTATTGTAGTGACTTTCTTATCTCATTTGCTTGAATTTGTTTTCCCAGATTTAGGTATTGGAACACGAACAGAACTTACTTACTGGAGAACTTGGATTTTTAATTTTACCATGTGGGGATAAATATATTAAGCACATTCTATCAGTTTTTTGGAGGCATTGGGATTTCTGCACAAATTTTTTCTTAGTATATTGTTAAATTTTAACCTTGCTTATTTCCCTTAATTGAAGAGTGAAGTTAACATATTGTGGGCTTTTTTTTTTTTGTCATTTTTAAATTATTTCAGAGTAAGTTGGATTCTGATTATATTTTAGTCATAAAGTTTCTTTGTAACAATATTTTAAAATAAGTCTTTAATATATTCATGACCAATAATAAAACAGAAATAATTAAACTTGAGTTTGGTGGTTTGTTAAATTTTGCAATAAAAAAGGAAATGCTATTGTTTCAAAGTATAATTGATGAATATTACCTTAGGACATTTAACCAAAAAATAATGATAGACCTGATTTCAGAATGACAAGCCTTGTTTAAAATTTTTAAAAAAGCACATGTTAGAGAAAATGTCAGTGTCACAGCATATCTTCTTTTGGGGTACATTTCTGCCGTCAGACCTGTGTATAATTTAGCTATTTTTCTGGTTCTCATTTTTACTGTAAATACTCATTTTATATGAACCTAAACATTTACATGTACTAGTGGTGCCTTGACATCAATTTACAAATGAATGGTATGAGAGACCTATTGGCTACAGCATGGTTTTGCATATTGTGTGTCTAGCACATGATATCTAAATAACTTTGTTCATACAAGATTGCTATATTTACTTTATACAGTGTCTGGCTTGTAAGTGAGAGCTCAAATATTTTAAAGCTTGGATTCAAATTAATAGCTTAAAATTATACGCTTGGGGCTAAAAAGAAGTTTAGGCAAACTTAGTTAACAAGAAGACCTAAATGGGGCCCTGGGCAAGTGAAGTGCCTTGCATCACACACTAGCAGGTGCCAAGGTTGGGCCTAGAATGGAGATTTCTTAATTCTCGGTTCTGGCTCATAGACCCACACCCCCACCCCCACCCTGTTGGTCACTTTACTTTCTGTCTGATTAATGTTATCAATGTCAATTAAAAAACATAGTGTGTAACATTTTTAACTTTTCAAAGTGGTTTCATGACTCTCAATCTTGCAAAGAAGGAAGGAAAATGCCATTACTTGTAAAAGGTGAGAAAGAAAGCTCAGATTAGCTGACTTACCCAGAATAGAAACCAGGTTTCTTGAAATTCAGCTTTGGTATACTCTCCAGAGATCCTCCTCCC